ACCACAGGAACCAGGGCCTCCTGGCTCATGTTAGACAAGCATTATATACTACTGAATCACTGCAACTATTCCTTTGTTTGTTTGTTTTTCTGAGACACGGTTTCTCTGTGTAGAAACAGAGAAACAAGTTCCAGGCTGGCCTGGAACTCAGAGATCCACCCGCCTCTGCCTCCCAAGGGCTGGGACTAAAGACGTGTGCCGCTACTGCCTGGCTTGGCCACTGGTATTTTGAAAGAGGATCTTCCTATGTATCTCGGACTGGCCTCAAACTTGCTGTGCAGCTTACTTAGGCTGACCTCAAACTCTTACAGCTTATTTATGTGTGTTTTCCTGCATGAGTTTATGTGTCTCATGTGAGTGTAGGAGCCCATGGAAGTCCGAAGAGGTAGTCAGATACCCTGGAACTGGAGTAACAGACATTGGAGCCACCTAACGTAGGTGCTGGGACCTGAACCCGAGTCCTCTGCAAGAGCAGTAAGAGCTCTTAACCCTGTGCCATCTCCCCAGCCCCATCGCCTCCACCTCTCGACCTCCCTCCCTTCTTCCCCAGGGCAGGGATATTAGGCATGCACCACTCACTACGCTCTGCTTCACACACGGCATCTCTCGCAGGAGGTCTAGCAAATGAGCGTTTACCACAGCAGCTGAATGACTGGTGAGTGACTGAAAAGCATGACTGAGGGCCTGCATCATCTCAGTCCTTTCCCAACCTACCTCCTGCGGTGGTGACAAGCTCCAGAGACAGGTGCTGACTTAAAGGTAACTGTTAGGATGCTCATTTGCTGAGGTGTCAGAGTTACAGTGAGAGCGGCTAATAACGGGGTGGAATGCACAGCAGTGTTGAGCCAAGAGCTGCCAGCAAGCAGCAACTAGCCGGCCCTGCTCGCACACACAGGGCATATCTGAACCAGGGCAGTCCAAGCTGACTGGTCTACTCGGCCTCCTCTACCAGCTTGGGAGGTCCAGAAACTGAAACATTTTCTTCTGGTGCTAGCGACCCACCCATGCCCAGCCCTGCAGTCCAAGTACCCAAAGTCCGAGGGCCCGGCTTTTCATTTCAGATAATCTTTTGCAAACTGTAAAGAGCCATTCCTGCTCTGCTCGGTCCGGCAAGCCGCCCTCCGAATAAAATGCCCACAGGCCGCGATATCCCTTTCCTTCCCATGGTCCTCTGTCCTCCGCCCCGTCTTTGTCCATCTCCCCTCCCCATCTGCCTCTCTCTATTGTGCAAGATGGGCTGGCACACCTTCTGGGGCAGGTCCGATCAAGGCCAAGGGATTTCCCCAGTGCGGGCAGCTGCGGGCGAGATTGGGGGCAGGGGGCAAGAAGAGAGGAGCTGGAGGAATGCTGGATTCCCGCACGTCCGTCCAGGCGTCCCTTTGCAGTCCCTGCATCCTCCTCGGCGTGAGGAGGGAGGGGAGACGCTCTGGCTGCAGTCCCCAGGGCGCCCCGTTTTCTGAGATGCCCCCATCAGCCTCTTCTTCTCTGCTATCTGAATTTGACGCACACCCGGCGCGTCCGTCCCGGGTCTCCCTTCCGGGGATCTTCTCTTTGTCTAAGTCTCCCTGCTGTCTAGAGGTCCCCGCCCGCCCCCGGACCGGGGAGGAGGGCGTGGCTCTGCCGGGGGCGTGGCCTGGCCTGGCGGGGCGGGGCGGGGCGGGCAGCGGGGCCTGGGCGCCGGCTGGAGAGGCGGCAGCGGCCGGCGGGACGGACGCGGCGGGGATCGCGGTGGGAGCGGAGCGGAGCCCGGGCGGCTGCGGGGCTGCGGGGCTGCAGAGCGGCGGGAGCGGGGCCTGCGGACTCCATGGCGCCAGCGGCGTCCGTCTGAGTAGCGGGGGCGGATCCGGCCGCGGCTTCTCCTCGCCATGGGAGACGTGCTGTCCACACACCTGGATGACGCGCGGCGCCAGCACATCGCAGGTGAGGACCGCTCAGCGCCGCCGGCCTGGGGCTCCGCGGGGCACCCCGGGCCACGCCTCCGTCCTCGCGGGGCCGGGGAGGGGGTCTCCGAGCGCCCAGGCCCGGGGCGGGGCGGGAGCCGGCCAGACCCTTACTCTTCCTCCGAACTTGTTCCCTCCCAGTCTGGGCGGCCCTTCCAGGCCCTTAGGTGTGCCCTCTTCTCCCTTCGAGGAGCCCGAGACCCCGTTTCTCTGCTGGAAGGTGCTTCTCTTGGAGCCCCTTCGGCCAGAACCCCGCACCTATACCCTAGATCGCGTGGCGGAGGGGTCGCACCCTGGTCTCCCCAGCAAGGTTCCCAGCCTACCCTCTGTTCCGGACTCTGCCACACACAGACAGAGCTTCCAGACTTCCCCGCTCAGCTGACCTGTCCCACCGCGCTCTGGCCTCAGCCCCCGTACACGTGGCTGAAGCTTACGGGGGATGGGCCCTTGGAGGGCCTGGGACCGCACGTGAAGAGTGGGGCTAAGGAGGGATGGGGTGCCCTAGAGGGGGCGGGTCCCTGGCCTGTTGAGTTGGCTCCAGCTCAGCAGAGTGCTGGCACTACTACAGCTTAGGGGGGGCTGTTCGTGGCCAGAGCTGGCTACTTCAGGGCCAGTGTCCAGCCTCCCGGTACTGCCCTTCAGCCAGCCAGGCGCCCAACCTGTCACGGCATGGTGGACACTTCTCAAGAAGGAGTTGCTCCCAAGTCTGTGGAGGATCTCAGGATCCTGGGTTCATTATGGAGAATGAGAAATGGGACGAGAATCTCAGGCTGCCCCAAAACTCGGCTTGTATTGACCACACAGGCAGGTCAGGCCTGGCGGTTCTGGATGTAATTTCAGCATTTTTGCTCAGGTGTGTGATCTTGAACCATTCTCTTTAAAGTTCTAGAACCTCAGTGTTATCTTAGAAAGGGGTCGGTGTTGACTTCTTAGTGAACATGGCTTAGTACAGGGCATAGGGGGGGCACTGAGACTCTGTGTGCCAGCAGTGGGGTTTATCAGAGAACATGTCTCCCTGTGGTGTGGTGTCCCCTACATGTCTCCGTGTCCTGTTGAGGAGCACTTGCTTACCCCACATTCTCTTGACAGCAGGGGCCCTTTGAGAGCAAGGACAGGTGTCCCTTACGATCCCCACCGCCCTCTGTCTACTCTAGCAGGGCACAGGGAAGGTGCCAGAGAAGGACTGCCCAGTGACTGGGCCTGAGCCGGTGGCCTGAGCTTCCCTTTGTGCCAGGCCTGGAGTTGGGCACAGGGAATGGTGATTTAGATCAAATCAGATCATTTCTCACCTCTGAACAGTTGGGGGTTGAGTCCTGGAAGGCCTCCTCCTTATAGGACAAGGCCTGGGCTCAGGAAGGGCTGGGCGGGGTCTTCCTGTCCCTTGCCTGTTGGTGGGAACCTCCTGGGGTTCTGTAACAGTCCCTCCATTCAGGACCTCCTCTCAGGGCTCTCAGCAAGCATGGGTGGGGTGTGCCCTACTTCAGCGGGTTTTTTCCTTTCCCCACACCTTCCCAAGTCGTGGGCTGAGAACCCACCCCTGCCCTATTGGCCAATTCCTGGGTCCTGAGCCAGGGAAGGTAAAGTGGCCCTTTCTGGAGAGGGCCGAGTTTGTTTTGTGATATGGGCTGGAGAAAGGAGGTTGTGCCCACTCAGAACCTGCTTGCCTCTCCTCCTGACACTTAAGTGCTATTAACAACCCCCTTCAGATGCCTTAGATTCCATGGCAAGCTCACCTGGGGGGGTGCTCCTGAAGCCCTATGGTGGGGAGACGCAAGAAGGCAGTCCAACAGAGAGAAAGAGAATTTCCTTAGGAATCTGGTGGAGGGAAACCGGGTTGTGTCTCCGCCACCTCCAGCCACCCATTCAGTCTCCTCGCCCCACCTAGCAGGTACCGGAGCACTTCCGGAGCAGATGATTAAGATTCCAGAGTCCTCCCTCCCTGTTGAAGTGTCAGCTGTGGGAACACCCCTTCCCACAGGCCTAAGCTCCCAGGCCTGTTGGGTGCTGTCTTGGCTGGCGGCCTTGTCCCTCCCCTAGCAGGTGAGCAGGTGAATGCAGCCTGCAAGTCCTGGCAAAGGTCAGGCGTGCTTAGCCAGGGTGCTGTCTTGCTGCCCCGGCACCTTTCATCCTGCGATTTCAAAGCCTCTGGCAAGCAGAGGCTTGTTCCTACCCAGTGCTGGTGATGCTGGTAGCAGGGTGGTTTGTGCACACTGAGTGCAGGATGGGCCTGAGAGCTGGGAAGCCATTGTCACCTAGGGGCTGCTTATTTTCCCTAGGTGTCAGTTTCCCTAGATATGAACAGAATGGGGTATGGCACTTGGTGGCTGAAGTCCCTTCTAGTTGCTATGAGGGCCTAACAGGACTAAAATTCCCTACAAACCTTGACTGGAGCTAAGTCTCAACTCAGACTACATGGTGTTAAGTGGCTGACCTTGGGCCAGCATCTCTAGCTCCTTTTTTTAAAAAAACCTGTGTGAGTGTTTTGCTCCCGTTTTGTCCGTACACTGAATGTGTTCCTGGTCAGAGGATGGGCATCAGGTCCCCCCGGAGCTGGAGTTACAGATGGCGCTGGGAACCGAGCCCACAACCTTCATGGACAAGTGCTCTTAACTGAGCCATCTCTGCAACCCTCTCCTGCCTCTGTGAGCCCTCCACCACTGGGCTATATCTCAAGTCTTTTTTTTTTTTTTTTAATTATTACTTATTTTTGAGACAGTTTTACTAAGTTGCCTAGGCTGCCTTGGACTCAGTTTGTAGCCCAGGCAGGACTTGACTCTACGCTCCTTTTGTTTCTCAGCTCCTGACTAGCTGGGATTCCAGGCCTGTGCCGCCAGACCCCTCCACCCCTCCCCACCGCCTCTTCTGAGGATCGAATCTCAGTTTTCTTATCAGTAATATGGGAATGACAATGGTAGCTAGGTTCTGCTGGGAGCATCTAGCGGCCTCACGCAAGATAAGGTTCTGCCCAGCCTGGTCCTTGGGCAGCAAACATCGTATTATTGAGATAGCTCTTGGGTTTCCGTAATTGGGTTCCCTCTAATGTCGGAGTTCAAAGGGGTGGGTGAGGTCTGTCCTGTCTCTGGAAGCAGAATGGCCAGTTCCCTGGATCTGAAGATAAACCAAGGTTTTCCAAAGCTTTGATTCCTGCCTTTCTTCACTGGGGCCGGCGTGTGTGGTGCACATGGGCTGTCTGGTGGAGGCTGAGAGATTAGTGACAGGGACAGTAAGGTGTGTAGAAGGCACCAGAAGATAGACTTTCCATGAGATAGAGGACAGGACTCATGTGAGTTCTGAGCCCTTTGAGGGATTTTATGCCAATGCCTGGAGCCCCAGAATCCCAGAGGCTAAGGGTGAGGGGTGGGGACTGAAACCTGAGCTGCCAATGTGAGAGCTGGCATTGGCTGTGATGGGGAAATCCCTTCTCCAGGACATCTTCCACTATTGGGGTTCACCCCTCAGTAAAAGTGCAAGTGTTGTCCCCCAGAGGGCAGACTGTGCAGTACTAATGTTCCCGTGGGCTCCACCCACCTGCTCTGCTCTCCCTTGGCCTGGCTCATTTTTTTTTTTTTTTTTTAACAACAACAGCTTTACTGAGACCCAGTTGCGCACCCTGTACCATCTCCCCACAGAGAATGGTTTTTAGTGTATTGACTGAAGTGTGCAAGCATCTTCCCACACAGTCTGGGAGCATTTCAGCCTGCTTGAAATAAACCCTGAACCCATCGGTAGCCACCCCATCCCACCCTCCTGTCCTCTCAACTCTAGGCACCCTTCGTCAGATTGCCAAGGCCACATGTGCCCGGGCACTTTAGGAGGGAAAGTGTAAAAACCAGGTCTTCTTTCTTTCTTGGATATCACTCCTCAGAAGAAATCACTCATCTGGTCACCTCTCCTGTATAGGTTCACACCTACAGCTGGCCTTTTCTTCCACTCCAAGTGCCATTCCGTGCCTGGGGCGGTGGTATTTGTCCAGAGCCTGGTCATGGCTGCTTGGGTTTTTACTGGCATCTTGCTAGACTGCATTGTGCTGCTTAAACCTCCCTGTATACATCATGTGCTAGGAGCTGGTCTCAGAGGCTCCAAGGAGAACTTCTGGGGAATGTAAATACATCCATCCATAGCCTTTGGAAGGTGGCAAACATTTCCTACCCCTCTGCCAAGACCTGCTTGATTATTGAGGTTATCATCCTTTCTGATAACTGGCTATGAAAAAGGGTTCATGTTTATTTGTCAAGAAAAGCAAATAATATCTGTTTGCAAGTTGATCCTAGCGCCCTCCACGCCACTCCCCTTCTGAAAGTGGCTGCAGGTGCAGGAGTGAAGGATGTGGGTGTCCATCACCCCCTCCCTGTGGTGCTGCCCAATCGTCATCCAGGGCTTTGCCAAGAGACTCGGCGGGCCGGATGCTTGATCCAGGCCTGGGTCAGCCTCTGGGGTGAAGCTGTCTGGGGACCCTGCCGTCTCTTGTGTTGGGTCTTACATAATGTGCTTTTGTTGGCTTTGACCCTGCCCTCCCCTCCCCCCAGCCTCCTCTAGTCTTCTGTTCGGTCCTCTCCCACCCTTTAGCCTGTGCTCTGGCCTCCTGGGGGCCTCCCACCTCACCCTCCAGGCCTTCCCACACAGGCTGCCAAAAGAGACCTTTCTAATCCCAAACTGGGCCATCGCCCGCCCTCCCTGCCTCCTGCCGCCTAAGGAATGAAGCTGAAAGACAAGAAGGGCGGCTGGCCCGCCCCGCCTGCCCGTGATGCCCTTTTGTAGCGGTTCCCGCCTGCCCCTGTTTGTGGTCATAGGTTGCTGGGACTGGGACTCAACGCTGTGTGTCTTGCTTCTTTTTCTAAACCGTCTGCAATAAACATCTTTTCCAAAGTCTGTATGTCCTTCCAGGTGAGGACGTGTCTTAGCCTTTCTCCAAGTGTTGGCCTTTGGGCTGTTCCCGCAGTGTTGGTTTTTGGAGCACAGTCTGCTCTGTAGGGTTCCTCC